TTACCTTATTACCCCTAAAAACCCAACTTTTGTACTGAGGGGCACCAAAACCCCTTCAAATAAGAGGGCACCGGAGCAATAGCCAGAGATTAGATGCATGCGTGTTTTTGATGAAGTTAACGTCATTCCATACGACAGCAAAGTAATTTAGCATTAAGTGTCAATGATCGCGTGGGAGCTGTACATGTGATCGATGAGGTCCTAGGTTGTTTGTTGGGAGTTTTGCACCTACTAACTCATTATAATTTGTCCCTCGAAAACAAAAGTGGCAGACATCACAACCACATTTGGTCCAGTTAAAAAGAGAATTTATACATTAAACAGATTAATAAACATGGAAAAAATATTTTCTTAAAATCAATTAAATTCACTAAGCAAAATTCTTTCGCTAAGCTACCCAAAAGAGACCCAATATAGAAGTAGTGTAATCAAAGAAGTAGTGCAACCGAAACAAACAGAAAAATATTATTAAATGAGATAAAAATTTATTTATATTTAAGAATAAAAATTTGTGTTTTTTATTTTTCGTTTATAGTAGAGAACATGAAGTAAGTTTTAACATTCAATACTTGAGTGATATAACATTTAATAACATGATATTTAAAAATAAAAATAAAAAATATGTAAATAATTTTTTATTGATAAAATTATATTAATTACTCATAAAAATAGATATAAATAAAAAATATTTTGAGTCATTTTTTAATTTTTAATTTTATATTTTTATTTTTATATGTCACATCACTAAATGTTATATTATTTAAGGAGTGATAAATCATCAAACAACATAAAAATTTATAAAATAATCAATATTAAATTAATATAAACTGAAATTTTGTATTTTTAAAAATAGAAAGAAATACTAAATATTTATATTTTAAAATAAAATGAGAAAAAGTGCAATATATATATATATATACCAGATGTCCCGAGACGGATCTAGGGGGAAAAAGGGGAAAGAAGGAAAGTGCAGATGAGCATGCAACAATAAACCAGATTTACACGGCGGTAGTCCGCACAAAACTGGGTATCAAGGGCACACTTGACTAGTCAGGCTTACAAATCCCAGGTTTTCGCAAAAATTTTATGATGCAAAAAATAAGCGAAGAGAAAGTAATACAAAATTGTTGTATTGATTGAACAAGAAGATACAAAGGCAAGAGAGAAGGGGGAGGTTCTCACTCTAGACTCTCTTCACGCTTACCGGTGCCC